AACGAGCTACAATACGTTCATATTTTTCCTAGAACACGATCCGCAAACTGTTTTCCATCCAGGTCGTTATTGATGTGAGGGTGTTCGGAGTGATTTAACAGTGTCCAATACCTCACATCTTGTCAAGGGTTGGAACTCCCGTCCTCTGGGTCCAGGACGGGCCGAAACGTGTTCACTTTCTTCTGATATGTGAGGATTGCGTTGTGTTTCTTCAACCTCGTTATAGTGACTGACTGCACTGGTCAACTGTCAAAAAGCTTCTGAAACAAATTAGTTCAATCTTGACTAATTCTGGGTCACTGAGAACGGAAATGTTTAAGATTGTTGACAAGCTCAAGTTTGTATCCAAGACGAGTGTTGAAGCTGTTTTGTTGCGTAATGGGAGGACTTGACCAGCAATTCCGTTGTTGTTGTTGTTATACACTCAGCTGCTCGGAACAGTTTCCATGTAGCGCGGGCTGTAGTGAGCCAGAAATATTCCATTGTGTTATGCAGCCCACATGAGAGAAACTTATGGGGACATGAAGGGACTTTGAGGTACATAAACGCTGACCAACGTCAGTGGTTCTGTGGTGCCCTGGAGGTGGTAGCCCTTGTGATGGGTCTGCGGCGTGAGTACCCGCAGAGCTGCTGTGGTCTCTGTGAGTGGGACAGTCGTGCTAGAACCTCTCACAGTGTCTGCTGTGGTCTCTGTGAGTGGGACAGTCGTGGGAGAGCTGGCCACAGTGTCTGCTGTGGTCTCTGTGAGTGAGACAGTCCTGGGAGAGCTTGCCATAGTGTCTGCTGTGGTCTCTGTGAGTGAGACAGTCATGGGGGAGCTGGCCACAGTGTCTGCTGTGGTCTCTGTGAGTGGGACAGTCGTGGGAGAGCTGGCCACAGTGTCTGCTGTGGTCTCTGTGAGTGGGACAGTCCTGGGGGAGCTGGCCACAGTGTCTGCTGTGGTCTCTGTGAGTGGGACAGTCGTGGGGGAGCTGGCCACAGTGTCTGCTGTGGTCTCTGTGAGTGGGACAGTCGTGGGGGAGCTGGCCACAGTGTCTGCTGTGGTCTCTGAGAGTGGGACAGTCCTGGGGAAGCTGGCCACAGTGTCTGCTGTGGTCTCTGTGAGTGGGACAGCCCTGGGAGAGCTGCCCACAGTGTCTGCTGTGGTCTCTGTGAGTGGGACAGCCCTGGGAGAGCTGCCCACAATGTCTGTTGTGGTCTCTGTGAGTGGGACAGTCCTGGGGGAGCTGGCCACAGTGTCTGCTGTGGTCTCTGTGAGTGGGACAGCCCTGGGAGAGCTGCCCACACTGTCTGCTGTGGTCTCTGTGAGTGGGACAGTCCTGGGGGAGCTGGCCACAGTGTCTGCTGTGGTCTCTGTGAGTGGGACAGCCCTGGGAGAGCTGCCCACAATGTCTGCTTTGGTCTCTGTGAGTGGGACAGTCCTGGGAGAGCTGGCCATAGTGTCTGCTGTGGTCTCTGTGAGTGAGACAGTCGGGCTAGAACCTCTCACAGTGTCTGCTGTGGTCTCTGTGAGTGGGACAGTCGTGGGAGAGCTTGCCACAGTGTCTGCTGTGGTCTCTGTGAGTGGGACAGGCGTGCTAGAACCTCTCACAGTGTCTGCTGTGGTCTCTGTAAGTGGGACAGTCGTGGGAGAGCTTGCCATAGTGTCTGCTGTGGTCTCTGTGAGTGAGACAGTCGTGCTAGAACCTCTCACAGTGTCTGCTGTGGTCTCTGTGAGTGAGACAGTCGTGGGGGAGCTGGCCACAGTGTCTGCTGTGGTCTCTGTGAGTGAGACAGTCGTGGGAGAGCTGGCCACAGTGTCTGCTGTGGTCTCTGTGAGTGAGACAGTCGTGGGAGAGCTGGCCACAGTGTCTGCTGTGGTCTCTGTGAGTGAGACAGTCGTGGGAGAGCTGGCCACAGTGTCTGCTGTGGTCTCTGTGAGTGAGACAGTCGTGGGAGAGCTGGCCACAGTGTCTGCTGTGGTCTCTGTGAGTGGGACAGTCGTGGGAGAGCTGGCCACAGTGTCTGCTGTGGTCTCTGTGAGTGAGACAGTCGTGGGGGAGCTGGCCACAGTGTCTGCTGTGGTCTCTGTGAGTGAGACAGTCGTGGGAGAGCTGGCCACAGTGTCTGCTGTGGTCTCTGTGAGTGAGACAGTCGTGCTAGAACCTCTCACAGTGTCTGCTGTGGTCTCTGTGAGTGAGACAGTCGTGGGGGAGCTGGCCACAGTGTCTGCTGTGGTCTCTGTGAGTGAGACAGTCGTGGGGGAGCTGGCCACAGTGTCTGCTGTGGTCTCTGTGAGTGAGACAGTCGTGGGGGAGCTGGCCACAGTGTCGTGAGCGACTGGGCACTCCGCCCATCACTGGAGGTCTGGGTGTAAACATGCAGTAATCACCACTTGATGAATCAAGCAAGATGATGTTGTTACCAACCTTACATATAAAACAACAGCTAATCAGCCATTTGTATTATTATATTTGACATCAGCGCGTCAAAATGCTTCATTAACAGCTCTTGTTCATCTCCGAGGCTGACAACTCTTGAACAAAATTGTTGACCAGAGTTCTCTTCATATTGTCTTGGTTCGATACCCGGTGTTCTAAGTGGTTGGCCCCTGTTGCTTCCCTGTGTGAAGGAAGCCTCCTTGTGCTTGCATCCCAGTTTCTTGTCCCTTAATATCCCTTCTTAATGCTAAATTGTCATACTTAGTATAACCATACGTACACGTATTGATATATATATATATATATATATATATATATATATATATATATATATATATATATATATATATATATATATAATTCGAAAGGTAAAGTGAAAAATATTTTCCCCTCCAAATATAAATGAAGTTTCAGCCTTACGGATAGTTGGGTCTTCGTGGACGGCGTTTAAACTTGAAGACATTAAATTATAACGCTGAGGAGTGAATTTTAAGTCTGACGTTTAATATATTGTGGTGAGATGGCAGGTCGGGTCAAGCGGGAGGGTGAACTGCACTGAGAACATTGTGAACACTGTGGTGGACATTGTGAACACTGTGGTGGACATTGTGAACACTGTGGTGAACATTGCAGGGCAGTAGTGAGCGCTGGGATAATCACTGATGTAGTGAACACTGTGGTGGATACTGTTCTCCAGCTTTGAACTTTGTGGTGAACATTGATGGAGTTCAATGATCACTGGGAAATATTGTGGTGTGGTAGTAAACACTGGTGATCTCTGTGGTGTGGTAGTGAACACTGGTGATCTCTGTGGTGTGGTAGTGAACACTGGTGATCTCTGTGGTGTGGTAGTGAACACTGGTGATCTCTGTGGTGTGGTAGTGAACACTGGTGATCTCTGTGGTGTGGTAGTGAACACTGGTGATCTCTGTGGTGTGGTAGTGAACACTGGTGATCTCTGTGGTGTGGTAGTGAACACTGGTGATCTCTGTGGTGTGGTAGTGAACACTGGTGATCTCTGTGGTGTGGTAGTGAACACTGGTGATCTCTGTGGTGTGGTAGTGAACACTGGTGATCTCTGTGGTGTGGTAGTGAACACTGGTGATCTCTGTGGTGTGGTAGTGAACACTGGTGATCTCTGTGGTGTGGTAGTGAACACTGGTGATCTCTGTGGTGTGGTAGTGAACACTGGTGATCTCTGTGGTGTGGTAGTGAACACTGGTGATCTCTGTGGTGTGGTAGTGAACACTGGTGATCTCTGTGGTGTGGTAGTGAACACTGGTGATCTCTGTGGTGTGGTAGTGAACACTGGTGATCTCTGTGGTGTGGTAGTGAACACTGGTGATCTCTGTGGTGTGGTAGTGAACACTGGTGATCTCTGTGGTGTGGTAGTGAACACTGGTGATCTCTGTGGTGTGGTAGTGAACACTGGTGATCTCTGTGGTGTGGTAGTGAACACTGGTGATCTCTGTGGTGTGGTAGTGAACACTGGTGATCTCTGTGGTGTGGTAGTGAACACTGGTGATCTCTGTGGTGTGGTAGTGAACACTGGTGATCTCTGTGGTGTGGTAGTGAACACTGGTGATCTCTGTGGTGTGGTAGTGAACACTGGTGATCTCTGTGGTGTGGTAGTGAACACTGGTGATCTCTGTGGTGTGGTAGTGAACACTGGTGATCTCTGTGGTGTGGTAGTGAACACTGGTGATCTCTGTGGTGTGGTAGTGAACACTGGTGATCTCTGTGGTGTGGTAGTGAACACTGGTGATCTCTGTGGTGTGGTAGTGAACACTGGTGATCTCTGTGGTGTGGTAGTGAACACTGGTGATCTCTGTGGTGTGGTAGTGAACACTGGTGATCTCTGTGGTGTGGTAGTGAACACTCTCCTTCATCCACCCTTACTCTTACTTCTTACGCTTTTAACCCACAATCCACCCACGCCCTCACAGCCACAATCCACCCACTTCCTCACAGCCACAATCCACCCACGCCCTCACAGCCACAATCCACCCACTTCCTCACAGCCACAATCCACCCACTTCCTCACAGCCACAATCCACCCACGCCCTCACAGCCACAATCCACCCACTTCCTCACAGCCACAATCCACCCACTTCCTCACAGCCACAATCCACCCACTTCCTCACAGCCACAATCCACCCACTTCCTCACAGCCACAATCCACCCACGCCCTCACAGCCACAATCCACCCACTTCCTCACAGCCACAATCCACCCACTTCCTCACAGCAATAATCCATCCTTCTCTCATCCTTACACCCTCCTGCTCTCATACCAGAATCAGTTGAGGGCGTCAGGTGTAACAACACCACAACCCAAGCACGACAGGACTGATCTCACAGAGACCATTAACAATAATGAACAAAACTGGAAGACATTAATCCAGACCATAGCCTGGTTGATCAGGCTGACGTAAGAGAATGTGCTAAAAAAATTTACTGCTAGAATCGACTCAATAACAAGTCTGCGTTATTGGGACCGCTTAATATTATTAAATCTGTATTCCCTGGAATGTCGGCGGGGGTAATAGAAAATAATTTTCACTTGAAAAGTATTAGAGGGACTGGTTCCAAATCTGTACACATAAATAACTCCCTCCTAACAGGGAGCCGGTCGGCCGAGCGGACAGCACGCTGGACTTGTGATCCTGTGGTCCTGGGTTCGATCCCAGGCGCCGGCGAGAAACAGTGGGCAGAGTTTCTTTCACCCTGTGCCCCTGTTACCTAGCAGTAAAATAGGTACCTGGGTGTTAGTCAGCTGTCACGGGCTGCTTCCTGGGGGTGGAGGCCTGGTCGAGGACCGGGCCGCGGGGACACTAAAAAGCCCCGAAATCATCTCAAGATAACCTCAAGATAACCTCTTGAGACCAGACGGCATGGCAGGAAATGCACAACCCCGTTGAAAATCAGAGGCACAAAAGGTATGCTAAAACACATTCCAATCAACATCCAAGACTCAAGACTTTACAACACTCTCCCTCTAAATATAAGAGCCATAACTGGCCAACTTCTCACGTTTTTTTTTTAAAGAATTGATACGCACACAAAACAAATACTTGATCAACCAGGCTGTGATTCATATGTCGGGCTGGGAGCAGCCGCGTTCAACAGTCTGGTTGACCAGACCACCAACCACGAGGCCTGGTCAGAGACCGGGCCGCGGGGACATTGATCTTCGGAACCACCTTAAGATAACCACAAGGTAACATCAAGGTAACCTCAAGGTAACCACAAGGTAACCTCAAGGTAACCTCAAGGTAACCTCAAGGTAACCTCAAGGTAACCTCAAGGTAACCACAAGGTAACCTCAAGGTAACCACAAGGTAACCTCAAGGTAACCACAAGGTAACCTCAAGGTAACCACAAGGTAACCTCAAGGTAACCACAAGGTAACCTCAAGGTAACCACAAGGTAACCTCAAGGTAACCTCAAGGTAACCACAAGGTAACCTCAAGGTAACCACAAGGTAACCTCAAGGTAACCTCAAGGTAACCACAAGGTAACCACAAGGTAACCTCAAGGTAACCTCAAGGTAACCTCAAGGTAACCTCAAGGTAACCGCTATATAAGGTTCTATGCAACACAAGCGGTTAAAGCCCAAAGCTTCCAGGGACAATGTAGGACAGATAACAGGAAAACGTCTCCTCTGTTCTGTCATATTGGACAGAAACTAGGAAATGTCTTTTTTTTTACTTAAAAAAAGGAAAGTGTGTATGTTTGTGTAAATGTGTAAAATGAATGTGCAAAATGTGTATTAATTTAAATGTGCAAAATGTGTATTAATTTAAATGTGCAAAATGTGTATTAATTTAAATGTGCAAAATGTGTATTAATTTAAATGTGTAAAAATGTGTAAAAAATGTGTAAATATCAAGACCGAACTATAGTTTAAAAACTCAATGGGAGTCAAATTGAGGGGACATTTTGTCAAAGTCACCGATTTACTGTCATTCGAGGACACTGGAGACTGGCCTTCAGGTAAATTCAGGTAAATACGCTTGAGATTCTCACTAGCTATCTTGCCATTCTCTCAAGATTCTCAACAGCAACTTTTTCAAAGAGAAAACGCCAATTCCTGTTGCCTTGACAACCCGTCACCTTCTCTCTGACGCCTGACGATTGTTGGGTGATTGTGTACTGTATGGTCATTGGTCGTTGATTAGCAGTGATTAGCTGACTGTATGGATTTGTGAGGGGGGGAGGAGGGGGGTGTTTGTTGATTGATTATTTACTGTAGTTTATGTGAACGACGGTAGTGATGATATATATATATATATATATATATATATATATATATATATATATATATATATATATATATATATATATATATATATATATATATAACTGAAAACTGTGTTGTTGAATATGACCGAAAGGATAAGATTATGATTCTAACACGAATCTTCTCTTAATATTTCTTATGTTTTTCTTCACTGTCGAGGGTAGTTGAAAAATTAACTCTCCAAATTTCATTTTCACACTTGATCTTGAAGTTGGTAGAATTTAATTATGTGTTAATTGGCTGTTGATTGTTGGTTTTGGCGAACCAACACAAGAAGATAAAACACACAGTGTACCCATTGATTCACTTGTCCATCTCAATCATGTCCTTTAGCACCTCACCCCAAGCGAATATAAGCATTGGCAGAGAATGTAAAATTGTCTTTGAAAATGTAAGAAGTGTCTTGCGAAGCGCTTCTATGCGTCAAACCATAAATAAAGTGTGAAAAGGAACTTTGGAGAGTTAATTTTTCAACTACCCTTCCCTTCCCTTCCTCACTCCACCATCTTCCATTGACCGCCTAAATCCCTTCTCTCTCTCTCACTCACCCCCTCTACTTCTCTCCTCCTCTCACCTACCTTACCTAGTTTCTATCTCGCCTTCTCTCTTTGAGTCTTTCTTTTCTTCTTCTACCTGTTCTCTCTCTCTCTCCCTCTTTGCCTCTCTCTCTCTCAGCCTCTCACCACCATCTTTACCTTGTGTTGTCCCTCAGGGGAGGGGGAGAGTGTTGCCACTCAGAGGAAGGGGAGAGTGTTGCCTCTCAGGGGAGGGGGAGAGTG